TGCAACGGATCATATATATATATATATTAATATTCTCTTTCCCCCACCACAAGGGATGAGTTTTTGGGACTTCTAAATTATTAATATTATTAATTTAATAATAATTATTTTAAATAATTAATATGGTGATAACCATAGCACCACCACAACATCCTGCATTTTTTCATGGAGAAATAAACAATTACTACTCTCTATATAAGAATATAAGAAAAGCATCTTCATCGTCACATTTGCATTTTGTTACATATATATATATATGATACGAGTTCATGGAAAATTTTAAAATTTATTAATAATAATATTTTTTATTTTAAGTTATATAATGGAGAAATAAATTTTTTATATTTTTAACTTATTTTATCCATATATCATGCAAATTTAAATGTAGAGTCTCTTACTAAAAAAAAAAGGAAAGCAAGAAAGAAAAACAACACTAGATCACTTTGAATTAAGTTGTTAGCAATAAAATTATCAATACTTGAAAGTTTATTGTATGTTATCAATAATATTATTTATTGAACATTTATTTAATTGAAAATAGTACCTATCAATCTTACCTCTTAAAGAAATATTACGAGGAAAATCATCTCAAAACTACGTAGTTTCAATAAATTTTTATTGAAAAAACTAAACTACCATATTTTTAAAACATGTATTAAGGTGATTTTTATCCTTTTTTTTTTCTCTTAAATTTTTAGAGGTAAGGCGGACAAGCACTAACCCCTATTTAATTTTAGGTTTTTTTATAAAAAAAATTAAGTCACACAAGTAAAAGCAACTCCTTTGTTTTTGAATATTCCTTTACCTAAACACCCATGTACTTATTAATTAAATCTAAAATCTCTTACTTTGTTTAAAAAATAATTATTACTAAAATACTTAAATAATTAGTAAATACAAGTGTTATAGATAACCTAACATATAAAATTTTCAGAATTTTTTTATGGAAAGTTTTGAGAAATTGAGTATATACAAACATGTTAATTTGGAAATTAACCAGCACATCAAAATTTCCCTAATGTATTGACACGTCTTTCTCTTTGGGCGAGCAAGAATTATTTGGCATCACAACTTCAAAAGTGGTTATTGAAGCGTCAACGTTAAACTTTTTTGTTGGGCAGCCAAAGACCACCCAATCCCTTTACTATCAAAAAAATGTTGTTTCTAAGGATAAATCTCGTACTATATATTTCATAGTCGATATGCATCAATGTCAATCTTTTTCCTTCTTTCCATTGACGAAAATACAACCATAAAAAATTTGCAACATCCAAGTTCATTACTTTTGCATTCTACTCCTTTTTTTTTTTTAATAAAATTTTTTCATGGATATATGATGAATTGGTTGGTCTTTGGATCCCTGCAGTACGTAGGCACAATGTCCCACGCTTCTGAATCCTCCTTATCTGGAAGTACGTACGGTAGGTCCATATATGCATACACATGCAGAACCAAATTTTAAGGCACTTGGGGAACTGGAAAAACAATATACTTACTTCCGTACAAAAAAATTCCACCCCGAGATCACACTGCGCAAATCCATTTTGCGTGTTATGCCCTGCAATTGTGGGGTTCCTTTGCTTATTTGCATCCTAGATACTTTATGGCACTTCAATATTATATATACTTAAAAAAAAATATATTGTATAGTTTAAATTATATCAAATAATATAATATTAATCACTAGATGAAAATTAAGGTTTTTGATATTAAAAGTTTTTTTTATTTATTAATTTATATTTTATAATTTAATATAATTCAAATAGTTAAATATGATTCCCTACTTTTAAACAAATAAAAATGTTTCTTCCACTTCTGTCTTTTAAGTTTTTATTATAGTGTTCCAAATCAACAATGCTATGCATTAGGTTTTCGAAGTGGTTCAGAACTGTATACTTACTTGGAAATTAATGTTTTATGTGGTTTAATTTAGATATACACAATCTTATTTTATAAAGAAGTTACCATATAGTAGAGATATAGTATCATCTATACAGAAGTGGTGGTGATCGTGTTGAGAAGTCCAAATTATAATATTGTAAGCGATTTAATTACTATGGTCCACTAGTGCTTAATTAACTGTGATTAGTTTAATTATTCCAATACAAGATCAAATTCCACTTCTCTTTGTTTCCTAGTAGTGGATCTCGATCTTCCACTTGACTTCATTGTTACTAATTAATTAATACAATAAAATAAGTCCATACCCAACTGAGACGACAGATCTGAGGGCCGGCTTTTTCTGCATAACCTTTTTTTCGTTTTTTTCTTTTCTTTTTTTTTTTTCCATCTGGGGAGATTGATGTTCTTCTTCTTCTTTTAAGGACAATAATTAGTAGGTTATTATTATTAAAAGTTAGTAATTAAAAATTCGATCATTAGATCTGGTGAACAGTCCATCAACCTTAATAAGGCACGATCATCAAACCGTTTGGTGGAGTTCGATGTTCGATTTGTATCCATTTCACACGATGATTTGACCTATCTAAGCATAAGATGAATTAATTAATTAATTAATTAATTGTCCAATAATCATAGACTAATTAAAAATAACAACAGTCAGCGTACGTCGGTGGCTAGGTTCAGTTAGCCACAGAAAGAAGCAGGACCACAAACCACCACCGATCCAATCTTCTTCTTTTCATAGTACATTTATATATTCTAAAGTCTAAACCTTTTACATGTAAGCTTTGGTTGTAGAATCATAACTTTCTTGATATCAAATGGAGACTGAAGAGAGAAGCTTGTCTAGCTAATATGGGTCCATTGAGAATTCATAGTGAATTAATTGCGCATTTATTTCAACTTAACATGGACCATACTTCACAAATTAGGTCAAACAATTTGTTAACAGCATCAATAATATCGTTACAAACTTACAATGACAGGTGTAATTATAAAATTATAATAAT